TCCCTCTCTGAGGTTCACTCTGATTTGCTTTAGTTCTCAATTAAATAAGTAGAAGTATATGTAGAAAGGAGTTCTTATTGGCAATCCCCGCCATGTGTAGGTTATATTTGTTAATCAGTTTGCTGTTACTAATATGTACTTATGTTAATGATTTGTAAGATTAACTGTAAAAATTACGTTAATCTGCGTAGTATGCAAAGCTTGTGACGTGGCAAAATTTGCTTCACAATTTTGCACGTCACTGTCGACGCCCCTATTCCGAAACCAATTAGTGTTCTTAATGGGATCCTCCCATGACCGAAATCTTCGTGTGTTTTAGAAACGACCAACGGTAAGCCAGAGAAGAAGACACACGCCTAGATCAGAAATGTAGTGTGCGTACGAGTGAATGTGATGATGTAAGTGTCGAAGCGTCGGCACGTAAGAATGATCTGGAAGATACGGTAGGGACCGGGTAGGTAGGTCAAAAGATAGTCAGTTGACCTACCGAGCGACCAGTTGGGGACGGACGCGACTGATGAGTTCAGTAGGTGTGAGACCACCGAGCGCGGAGGTTGGAGAGAGTACGTGGAGCAAGNTCGTAAGTATCAATGGATCTTTCAAGAGTCCCGTCGCGTATAACTTAGGCAATTTATTAACAGGTGATCAGAAATTGTTGCTTCGAACCGAAGTGTTAATTCAATTGTATAAGAAAACATTGAAGTTGTAAAAGTGACATTTGATGGTGATAAGTCCAACCAATGATCGTGCAGCTCTAAACAGCAAATTTTACGCACACAGATAAAGAAAACTCCAAACCCTTTTTCTTACACATCGTTACTCAGAAATCTGTGTTTACATTTTTTGACGCTTGTCACACGTTAAAATTAGTCCGTAATTACGTAGCAAAAAGTCCTTTGCTATACAATAGTATCGAAAAAATCAATTGGTTGTATATCTTCAAGTTAAATGAAAAACAGTTGCTGTAAAAAATGCATTGTGCATGCAAATTAATTAACAGGCACGTAAGCTTTCAAAATGAAAATGAAAGTATTCTTGGCAGCATAAGTTTAAAATCAGCTATTGGTCTTCCGATGTACGGACATTTTATTTATTTTTTTATACAGTTAACCAATCATTTAGTTATCTCTAGGCTCGAAAAAGATCCATCCGTCTTTCCGCCGAATACGAGCCGTGATGTAGACAATTTTTTTCTTACTCCGTAAATTATTACCATTTGAGACTTGAAAAGAAAATACTCTATGGTATTTGAGCGAAGCGATCCATTCTGTTTTTATTTTACGGGTTCCTACTTCTTCTGATGATGGTTGACTGTTCCCTTAAAAATTTACATAAGTTGAAGCGGATCTTGTAATGTCTCTGTAAAAGGACGTGACAATTAAATAAATAATATTATCAAGAGCTAACAATCATACTGATACAAATACTGTATTTGTGTGAATCATCGAGCTCGTTTACAACTTGGTGGAAATAAAGCTTCTTATCAATATTTCAGGGAATAATAACGATATTTTCTCGCCAACGGTAAGTCACCTTGGGGAATGTAAAATCCACGTTATAAGCTGAATATAACCCTATAGATTGCAAACGAAGTTTTCACAGGAAAGTGTGCAGAATATTTGTAAAACAATCTTGAATCAAATAAAAAAGTGCTGCTGTAACAATATCAAAGTTCTGTGTAAGTTACAGTATTAAAATGTGGGGCAATATGTACACAATTCGTCTTTTATCATAATAGATTTCCAAAGGACGAAAGCTTAAAAAAAATGGGTGAAATTCATTGGAGTGAGTTCTGTGAAAAAACATTAGGCAGTATGCAGTGATCACTTAGATTCTGGTTTCTACCACAAAACTGATGAATACACATCATGTTTGAGATTTCTATTAAATTCAGTGCCAATCATTCAAAATTTTGTAGCACCAGTTGATACCCGGGTAGCAGTGGCTTCAAAATATACACACAATTCTCTGTTTAAAGAAAATAACTCTGCTCATGGGTATTTAAATGAAAATATTGTGGAAGATGAATTGTATTTAAGGATCTCAGAAAGTACTGCAGTAACTCATGAGACTGGTACAACTGGTACTCTAGAAAACACAATAAAGAAAAAAAATAATTTTTAGGAACTTTTGGAAACTGCACAGATAAAAAAAATTTTGCTGTAGTCAATTACTTGCAGGTTGCTTCTGAACGTTTTTAATTACCTTATTATTATTTTATTTTTGTTTGAAGTGACTTTTGAATCTATTTTATTCCATTATTACGTTCTTCGAGATTTATACGGCTCGTAACAAATATGATGAATTTTCTAAACTTTTTTTGGTGATCACGTCAGCGATTTCTATCTTCATAAACATTCATTTTATAATTTTAGTTTTCTTCAATTGTTCAACCACTCCCGTATGACTATAATACCTACCAATTATCGTGATCTCTGAATAGTAATATATTTAATTCCTCTTATAATTAACACCATCAAATCTACAATTATAAAGCATACTGATTATATACATACTTGTCTATATTTAATATACTTAGATTGAATGCGTGTTTCCAATGCCATTTAATCTTGCCCTTGGTTTTATAATTTAATTCCATTTTTTTGGTTTGAATCCTTTCACAGTATTATAATAAATGTGTAAGGAGTGAAATTATTGGTGGTTACACATTGCAAGTAATAGAAATTATTCAACAGACAAGACCTGTTTTTTATATCACTATTAAAGAAAACTGAGGTACAATAGTAACGTACTCATCAGTAAGTATTTGATGGTTTGTAACATAACACTTTCTCTGTGACTTTTTTTGTAAATTATAAAAGTAATAATAATACAATCAAGATTACGATGCACTAAAGTATACATCAAACTTTTGAAAAATATAATAATAACAGTTCCCAAGCAGTTCAAATGCATCTCTCCTAATTTAAGGAAATACTGTGAAATTGTAAATACTTAAAAACATGAAAACCTTTGCACAAACTTTGAATCAAGATTTTTTTAAACATTCTTTGTTATATCTCTTTTTATGCAAAATGACTCTTGTAGTAAAAAAAAATTTTATTCTTGAAATATGGGTTTCTACTGACTTATAAAAAAAATGATTGTGGGACATACTGAGCATATCATCCAGATGATAAATAGAATGAAAAATGAAAAAACTACAGAAAAATTTCCAGCAAAGTTGAAAACCTTTGCAAGAGCTCTACATTTTCACTCTTCTCATGCTTACGAAATGGTTCGACAATCTGTCATAAAATGTTTACCTTGTGCTGATATATTGAATAGATGGGATAACTCAAAAAATTAAAAGGCAGGAATATGTGCAAAGGTCATTGACCATGTGTCTCAGCTTATTTTAAATCAAGCGGAAAAAGGACAAAAATTAGTTTTTAATGTCACATTCGATGAAATGTATATTAAGCTGCATGTATTTTACTGTAACAAATCGCATAAGTAGGAAGATCTAGTCGATATGCGCGATAACATTGATTATGTTGATTTAGAGGGTCAGGCACAAAAGCTCGTAAAGCTTTGGTTTTTATGATCGTAAGTATCAATGGATCTTTCAAGAGTCCCGTCGCGTATAACTTAGGCAATTTATTAACAGGTGATCAGAAATTGTTGCTTCGAACCGAAGTGTTAATTCAATTGTATAAGAAAACATTGAAGTTGTAAAAGTGACATTTGATGGTGATAAGTCCAACCAATGATCGTGCAGCTCTAAACAGCAAATTTTACGCACACAGATAAAGAAAACTCCAAACCCTTTTTCTTACACATCGTTACTCAGAAATCTGTGTTTACATTTTTTGACGCTTGTCACACGTTAAAATTAGTCCGTAATTACGTAGCAAAAAGTCCTTTGCTATACAATAGTATCGAAAAAATCAATTGGTTGTATATCTTCAAGTTAAATGAAAAACAGTTGCTGTAAAAAATGCATTGTGCATGCAAATTAATTAACAGGCACGTAAGCTTTCAAAATGAAAATGAAAGTATTCTTGGCAGCATAAGTTTAAAATCAGCTATTGGTCTTCCGATGTACGGACATTTTATTTATTTTTTTATACAGTTAACCAATCATTTAGTTATCTCTAGGCTCGAAAAAGATCCATCCGTCTTTCCGCCGAATACGAGCCGTGATGTAGACAATTTTTTTCTTACTCCGTAAATTATTACCATTTGAGACTTGAAAAGAAAATACTCTATGGTATTTGAGCGAAGCGATCCATTCTGTTTTTATTTTACGGGTTCCTACTTCTTCTGATGATGGTTGACTGTTCCCTTAAAAATTTACATAAGTTGAAGCGGATCTTGTAATGTCTCTGTAAAAGGACGTGACAATTAAATAAATAATATTATCAAGAGCTAACAATCATACTGATACAAATACTGTATTTGTGTGAATCATCGAGCTCGTTTACAACTTGGTGGAAATAAAGCTTCTTATCAATTTTTCAGGGAATAATAATAATAATAACTCAATTTTCCAGACGAACATACTCTGAAGTTGCAAGATAGTTTTGTGCGTGTCTTAGATCCATTGTGTATTTTGCAGTAACACTTTTTTTAGCATGTTGAACTTTTTTCTAACTGTATAGGACAAAAAACGTCTCACGTATTGATCACTTTAACGCATTGTGGATTAAAGTGTTTCAAACAAGCTTAGGAAAATTTTTCTCTTAGTCAGCGGCCTCCTCGTCTACCCGCTTTCCTATTGGAAATTTCCAATGAATCAGTTATATTCAATGATTCTCAATTTTGCATTAATTGACAAATTTTTGTAACAACAATGTCATATTTTCTAATTTTTTTTCTCTTTAAACCTGTCACGTAGTATAGACCCGTTTTCTCAAGCCATACATTGTTACATAAAAAATACCTATAGCCAACGAAACTAATGCTATCCTTAGAAGATTAACTTAAATAAAAATATATTCTCAAAAAAAGAGTTGTAACTAAGTATAATAACATACAAATTTTTATATTTTTTTTAGCAAATTGCAACAGCTGGAAATGCTGGTTCAACAAGCGGTGCTTACAATACAAAACCGGCAACTTATAGTTCAGGTTATGGTGGTAGCACAAATTATGATACTTTAACGAATTCTGGAACCTCAGGTGATTATAAAAGCTCTACATCTGGGTATTCCAGTAACCAAAGTAATAAAAACGGATCCTCAAGTGGAAATACTAACGTGACAGGAAGTTTAACTGATATAAATACGACACTTTATACAAAAGGTCATGTAACGCTGAACAAAGTAAATGTAAGTATGATGATTTTTTTCAAGTAAAAAATTTTTAATCATAACTAATTTCTTTAAATAAATCAGTACCTTTGAAAAGTCAAAAAACTCTATGCAAAAAAAGGTTTATCGTAGGAATAACTTGCTTACCGATCCTACAAACTTTATTTAAGACCAAAAAATTTTTACTTTAAGAAATAAACATTTATTTACGTATAAATAATTGTAAGAAAAATATTATTTTTGTTATTTTCAATAATTAAAATTTCTTACATATGTCACAATAGCACTAATATGGACTCACAGTCCTGGCATAGATTATAATTTTCCTATTTTCTTTATTAATAATAGTTTAACAATTGATTATTCGATAATTTACTTTGATGCAAAGCTTTCAGTTAACAATTGGCTGCTCTGTTACTCTTGAAGTAGAATAAAAACGGTTTTACATTTGACTAATCTTAATTTTTAACAGATTTAAAGTATGAGAATAGTTAATCTTGTTTAGTTACTAAACTTTTTCGTTGTAGTTAACGTTATTGATTTTTTTTTTTTTTTTTGGCCTAAAGATATTATGATAAATTTTACTCCGGAACTTCTTTCTCAATTTTCTGATCTAGGCTGTCAGTACTGCACATTGCTTTTCTAAACTATTTGTAGCTTTCTCTTTTTTGGCTCTTTCTATTGTAGCTGACTATCTTTTGGCTTTTTCTTTTTCTCAAAGTCGTTCTCTTTTCTTTCAATTGCTGTTTGAATTTTGCTGTTAGCCTTGTATCTTTACAATTTTTATTACTTTTTCATTATTTTGTACGATTTTTTTGTACTTGTTTTTATTTCCTTGCATTCCGTGTTATATCAATGAAAAACCTTTTTTAGCCGGTATGTCGTTTCCATGGTTTATGTGAACTGTTTTTCTATTATACTTAAATTAAACATATGTGTATTATTAAACTAGGAATACGTGATCCGAATACCAAATTAATAACTTTAAATTGTTTTGAACATTGAAAATGATTAAAAAAAGAAAACATAAATTTACTTAAAAAAAACAACTCTATTGACAAATGTGATGTGTTTTCATACAAAAATAAAAACAAAAAAAATTAATAAATAAAAAAAGTAATTTACAAATAACAAATACAAAGTACTTTAAACATATGATTAAAGTTTTTCAGGTTATACTGTTTTTTATTATTAATACGGATTATTTAAGTATAATAGTGATCATTGAAGCTAATGTAAGCGATTAAGTTTAACTTGAAAAATATCTCATTTATTATTACTCTATAAATATTATGATTTTTAATTTTGGACTATTCTGCACAATTTTAGTCACAAGAGTACCTACCTTAGTACAAGTAACCTTGTTATTGTAATACTACTATGACTTGCACGCTGAGTAGCATTGTGAAAGAAATTTTTTAATGTGTTATCTGCAATTTTGGTTCTACACAATTTGTTAATATATACCTTTAAAGAACTACTATTGATCAAACCGAATTCGTATTTTGATCTGATACTCTAAAACATCTTTGGGTAAAAAACGTTTTAAGACTTTTATTTACATTTCTGTAATTTGACCGTTCGTGCAAACAGAATTAGAGAGTGATAGAAATCAAACAAATATCGAACGCAAAGAAGAAGACAGTAAGATTTTGATTTTAAATTGTTAGACAATAAATTAAAATATGTACAATGTAATGTAATTGAATGCACAAATTCCGGACTGCACATTTCAGTTTAACCTCATCACCCACAATAATAGTAAAGTACCTTACAAAAAGACACCCTTAGATGCAGGCACCTCCAACGTATTGTTTTTTTAAAACAATCCAATACATTTAACGGGATGAATTCAAAGTATTATGCAACATTACACGTTGTAACGGGGTGTCTATACTCGCTTACGGCTCTGGAAATCACTAATTAATACGAAGAGTACTCTGATCGAGACTGTCCTTCCCGGGTACCCTCAGAGACACAATCACAGTTTTTTTCACTCGATAGCATTAACAACAAGGCACGTACGGCCGAGGAAGCTTTCCTCTTGGAGCCGACGGCACGCAATAATTCGACCGGTCACAGAGAGAGATTACACGGCTATCACGATTTTCACGCACGCACTGCGCTTACCTGGCTTTTTGTAGCCTCGTGTTTATGCTTGTTGGTCGAGCAGATAATCTCTCAACAAGAATTCTCGGCCTGGTATCTTGCTGGCAAGTCGCTTATTCGTAGGCGTTAGGTGGCAGGCGCTAACAAGGCGATGGCGAGACTGTCCCTTGGTGACTTGGAGTGCTTTTCGGGCAAGAGAAGCACGTGTGTATCCTACCTATACCTAATCCCTTCTGGCCTGATGGCCCAGAGTGTCCCGCGCTAATACGCATCGCAAGACACTTGTCTCTCCATCTACTCTCTCCGGCTTTTCGTTCTTGCGCAGTCTAGATGAACATGAACGCCGTTCAGGAATTAATCGCCCGTTACAATGTATTGCACTACACTGAAAAAGTTAATGTGTTTTAATAAACCTTAATAAATAACTTTTTATGATGTTGGCTACAACAATTTGTGTCTTATTCTTTTGTTCCTTATTTATTTGTATCTGAGTCTTTAGACTTAATTTTCCAGAATTTTACAACGTTTTAGCCGTGCTTATTTAATTTAATGCTACACTTTTATCTAGTGAACCTTAGTTTTGAAAATTCTAGTTTAAACAAAATTGCATCTGTGAAAATATAAAATCACATTAAAAAGGCATTTAATATCAGATATTTATAAGGATAGAACATCATAAGCAGTGCTAGCCGTATGAAACGCCTATAGGCAACATCACGTATTTCAAATAATCTTTATTGGTTAATAATTTGTAGCATCACTTATCTATTATTCAGCTGAGTTACGAAAGTTACAGTAGGTATAATCTTTCTCATAAAATCGTTTTAATTATTTATTAGCTCCTGGCAATAAATATTAATCTATTTTTTTGCTGATGGTAAACCTTGCATTTTGATTATATTCATGAACAAACCTACGATGTACAGTGCTCCTCATAAATTGGCTTGTGTGTTTTTGATTATTTGATTACTACTATCTTCCGCGGTATTAGAGCTTTTATCATATGTTCATTCTTGTGTTAATAAAGTTCTAAAATATTATCTACCAGCCGTACAAAAGTATCACTATTAATTCTGTAAAGATGAATAATTAGCATATGGGGAGAGTCACGTCAACTGCCCCAGCGCTGCTGCGCATGGCCCGCGCGAGCGTAAAACACTACGTTTTCAACTCGTCGTTTTGGTCTCAAAATGTTAATAAGAGAACTATCAAAACACATTTTCTGACGTATTTTTTCCTTAGCTTTCTAGTGGTGACATTGGTTTTTTAAAATTCTGCCTCCATAACCTCGAAAAATGCAAAAGTTCAAAAAACACGTTGTATTTTCATGATCTTCAATTTTTGGCATTTTTTGGACTATCTACATCGTAAGATGAGACTTTTTTACGAAGATAGTGACAATAAAAAAAAAGGGGTTTCTATTTTTACGCAGTATTTAAACGACGAACAAGACGGCGCGAGCCGCTGTGGCCACGCTGGCAGTGGGTCAGCCGCCCGCTATCTGCTACGATCAGATTAGTCTTTTCAGTTATATATGTATTGGCGATGTAAACAATTCTTATTTAACGAAGGTTTGCATGAATCAGTAATACATTTTTTGATAAAGTTTATTTATGTATTCAAGAATTTTTTAATAAATAAATAGTAATAAATGTCCATAAAATATTTGATATTTACATTTTAAATGTATTCAACAATAAAAACACTGATATTTTACTTAGTTTTTGGCTTCTTTTTAGTTACATTCGTTTTATAGCCTTTTAATTTTGGAAAGATTTTATATTGATAACATAAAGACGTCTTCTATAGCATTAATTTTTTATCCTTAATGGGGATAAACCCATGCTAATTCAGTGTTCCTGGAATCATTCTTGCACTAGAAATGTGTTCTTTTAGTTTTAAGGCAGTTTATTCATATTCACATTTGCTACTAAAAAAAATTTACGTTTCTTTACAGTGATTTTTTGCCCAGTTAAAAAGATCTTCTGCCTTTAAAATATGATTGCCTGCAGAGAGTTACAAGCTCGTCCTTCTAGCGCCTCGTTTTATATTCAATCCTATTCCATCACTCACTCCCTTCACGTGAGCGGTAGCGTGGATATGCCACTGTGCTGGAATTCCAAAATCGTCTTCGTGATTTAAAAGAAGATAAAAATTAGTTTTATTTTTAAAATGGTGTGAAGCACCATTACTAACGTAATATATTTCTTTTGAATTAAATCCTTTTTTTAAATAGTTGACGATAATTTTTTAATAAACGAATACGGCAATTGTGTCATGTGAAAGGTTATCAGACATCACTGCCGAGCTTTTATGCCTAATTTCGTTAATTTCCTTATAATACAAAACACACGTGAATATCGTTGCTTGGTTATTAATCCAGTGAAATGACTGGGCTGCATTTTGAATCACAAACGGGTGATTCTCCGCGAAATCGAAGCTTACTATAAATTTACCATCGAGTGAATTATTTTTAAAATTTTTTTACGAATGAAGATTGTTTTTTAGCAAAATAATTATGTGTTTTTAACTTCATTAATTTTTCGCCCAGTAAATGCAAATATTCACAAATTTGCACTGTATTCGATATTATCGTGCACCGATCAGTTTGCGCCCATAATTGATAACTTACTTCGAAAACACCTTCAGCTTCTAATGAATCTAATAATAAAATTGGTAGTTTTCTGAAATTGGGACAATCTAAACAATTTTCTAAAAAATAATTTTCTGAAGGATTATCGCAAATGATGGTGTTTATACAGTCCCTGAAATTTTTAAGAGGTGGGTCCGTGGGCTTAGTCAATTGCTCTAAATGTATTGCATCAAGCATCAATTTTACGTTTTCGTGATGCATGCATACGCAAACATTGTATGTACCACTACTTCCGGCTAAAATACAGTTTGGAGGC